CCCTGTCTTCAGCACTCAGGACACCAGCTGTGTAACCACCTTAGACTGGGCACTTTCTTGACCAGGTGAGGGTAATGAACTGTAGGAAGCCAAACAGAGCATCACCAGTGATACACAGAAGCCTCTGGCTCAGTGCTGGGCACAGGGGATACCTGGCAAGCAGAGTGTCCACACAGCCCGCCTCACTGAGCTTATGATTCAGTTACTGAGAATGAGGGAGCTAGCTGTTCATGCAGCTGAGTCAGGGGTCTGAGCTGAGGGTCGGGGGAGGCATGCCAGGGCTCAGCCACAGGCCGGTATGGGCATGGGCTCTGGTCATCAGAGGCAGAAAAGGCTTCTGGGGCTGGCTCAGTTGTACGGTGCTATGAGTCTAGCCAATCAGTGAGCTCTGGGTTCAGGAAGAGACTGTCTCAGAAAATCAGGTGGAAAGCAGTAAAGGAGGACAGCCAGCTCTGGCCACCAGCATGTGTGTGTGTCTGCATATGCATCTGTGCATTGTTTTTAAAAATTATTCAAAAAAGCTAAGTAGGGGGCAAGCAGGATGGCTGTGTAAAGTTGCCTGCCACCAAGCCTGACAGCCTGGGGTCAGTCGCTGGAACTCACACGATTCAGAGACAACCCACGTCCACAAATTGACCTTTGACCTTCACACATGCCCAAAACTGTGCTCCCCCCCCCCGCCGCCGCCACATACAATAAATAAATAAATGAATGTAAAATAATTAACAGATAAGAACAGGGCTGGCAGGATGGCTCAGTGGGTAAAGGAGCTTGCCACCAAGCCTGACGACCCCTGTGGTGGAAAGAGAAAGTAAATTCCCACAGGTCGTCCTCTTCCTCCACACATAAGGAAATAAATGTAATAAATTTGTCAATGTTTCTTTAAAGAATTATTTTTTATTTTAATTTTTTTATGTGTCTGAGTGTTGTGCCTGCATGTGTGTAAGTGCATCCATGTCATACAATGCCCATGGAGGACAGAGATGGCGTTGGACCTCTGGAGCTGGAGTTGTGAACAGTTGTTAGCCACCATGTGGGTGTTGAGATTCAAACCCAGGTCTTCTGCAAGAACAGCCAGTTCTCTTAACCACTGAGCCAGCTCTCCAGCCCCTCAATATTTTTTTTATTTAAGGAAAACAATTTAAGGAAGGCTTGGTGTAAAAGGGGGACGACTCCTCTCTGCCTGGTGCCTGCCACCCACCGACTCCAGGCATAGTCTGGTCACCAGCCCTGGCCCCCTTCTTACTGGCTGTCCTTGGTCAGCATCCATGGCTGGTAACATACCAGCTTCCACCTACACAGTGTCCTGGCGTGCTCTGGGTACCCACGCTTTTCTCTTTTTTTTTTTTAAATTTTGTTTATTATTTTTATTTTATGTTTGTGTGAGTGTATTGTCTGTATGGACGTGAGCGCACCCATGTCATGCAATGCCGCAGAGATCAGAAGAGGGCTTCGGATTCCCCTGGAACTGGAGTTAAGGACGGTTTGTAGCTGCCATGTGGGTGCTGGGAATCGAACCCAGGTCCTCTGCAAGAGCAGTCAGTGCTCTTCACCGCTGAGCCATCTCTCCAGCCCCCACACTTTTCTCTTAAAAGACTGCCAGCTGCTGACCCTGAACTTAGGCCGTCTTCAGAGACCGTGTTTACAAATTGTCACATCGACAGGAATAGGAGTCAGGACTGCAGTCTGTCATTTTAGAGGGCATAGTTCAAGCCACAGCAACGCTTCTGAGCCCAGCCCTCCTGGAGACCCACTGATAAAGCCCAAGAGCCTTCAGAGACAGAGATGGTGACGGCAACAGATCAGGGAGAACTGGGGATGCTTGACCCCAGTTCTGTGCTCTGGCCTCGCCAGCTGAGAAATTTGGGGTGAGACCTTCCTTCTGGTGGACCTTGGTCTCCTCTCCTCTGATATCATAAATGACGGCACCTGTCCTGACTCCCTGGCGTGGGGCCTGAGGGGATCCGAGGAGCAATGCAGCACTTCTTGAGGCAATGCCCCGATGGAGGTGCCGCCCTGCAGGCATTCTTAGGCTCAAGACTTTGCCAACTGAGATTGTAGTTCCCTTCGTGATCGCTCTCTGACCTTCCTCCCACACTACAGACTATAGACTTTGGGACCATCTCTTGGACAGTGCAGTGATGAAATGAGTGACCACACCCGTAGCTGGGAATTCTGGGAGCCAGTCTTCCAGCACTGCAACCACTGTCTAAGGTCCCACGTGTGGACACGGCAAAAGCCCCATGCAGAGGGACAGATGTGGGCAGCTTATAACACTGGAAGGAATCCTGGCCCTGAGCAGGAAGATAGCCCTGTTGCCGTGTTGACCCACTGTATGAACCCAGCAAAGACTTCACCAACCTTACTTCTGCAAAGCAAAGGGACAAAATGACAGGGTGTGTGCCGCAGGGATCAGGTGGGAGGTGAAGTGACTCTCAGGCCATGGCGTCCTAGTTCATAACTATTTGGTGAGCATGTCCACTCTGAGCCTCAGTGAATTCTGTTATCAGGACCACTAGATAGTCTTGCGTTGGAGGTGTCGGAGGTAATGGATGTGAAATGGGGAACCCCGTGGGTGAGCCCAGCTCAGCAGTTGTCCCCAGTAATTGTCACCATGGTGACCATCTTTGTCCTCACTTGAAGTCCCTTTTAGCTCTAGATCGCAAGGCCCTCAGAGATGCCCCCGTGCAAGAAGACCTGGTAAAATAAGACAACAATCCTGCTTTGTATAAACACCTTCTGAGGACAGGAGCCAAAAGATTACCTCTAAATAACTGCTCCAACTTGACCACAAGCTGTCTAAAGGCCCTAATTGGCCAGTGGGTAGTGATAGCAGCCATCTGCATTAGGAAGATTTACATGGGACCTCAGTGATCACACCAGCGGGGTGATGGAGCAGTAGCATGTGGCATAGATGATCCCACTCGGGTATTAACGGCCCACAACTGAACACAGCCCAGGAGCAGCAGTGGGCAGACTCCCATGGCTTCCTTGCTCCTCCAGAGAAGCTACCTATCTGAGCAGCCGCCCATCCGTCCAGAGCTCATGCGTCTCATCACCAGTCTCACTGCTTGAGAGTCTCTTTGGGGAGGATTCAGTCTCTCAATTAGGGCAGATTGATTTCTGATTTCTATAGTCAGTGCTACAGAGAGAAGTAGGGAAGGACTGGGCAAGCTGTGTCCATCTTTGAGTGCAGACAAGAGACCAGTGTCCTGCCATCCCACCTGCACCCTTCAACCTGCAGAAGTTTCTGGAATCTTTTTATTTTTAGACAGGGACTCCCTATAGCCCCACTAGCCTGGAACTTGCTATGTAGACCACAGAGATCCTCCTGCCTCTGCCTCCCAAGTACTGAGATTAAAGGTGTTGCCACCAGGCCTGGCCTAAGTTTCTAGACTCATAAGTTGCCGTGGCACTGGAGTGGCCTAAGTAGTTCAGAGATTGCAAGAGTTCAGAGGTTCACAGCAGGGAGGCTGGAACTTTCTACAGAAAGAAAACCTTTGTTTTTTAACTTTTTAAAAAATATTTTGTTTATTATTTTTATTTGATGTGTATGAGTGTATTGCCTACATGTGTGTAAGTGCTCCTGTGTTGTGCAATGCCCGTGGAGGTCAGAAGAGGGCGTCAGATCCCCTGGAACTGGCGTTATGGATGGTTGTTAACCACCATGTGGGTGCTGGGAATGGAACCCCGGTCTTCCAAGAGCAGTCAGTGCTCTTAACTGCTAAGCTCTCTCTCTCCAGCCCCAACTTATTTATTTTTTTTAATTGCACTTTTATCTATTTATTTTGTATGTGCGGGAGTAGGAGCCAGATACACATGCCACAGGGTGAAGGTCAGAGAACACGTTGAGTGCGTTAGCCCTCTCCTTCCACATGTGTCCCAGGGATCAAACTCAGGCCATCAGGCTTGGGCAGGCACCCTTACTCACCTAGCGGTCTCACTGGCCTGAAAGTCTTTGATAGTTATTCAGATCAACTTTTCCAGTCCTAAGACAGAAATTCCACCCACAGCAGAAGAAACCCAAAGGGAAGCTGTCAGGTGCATTGAGAGCCGTTCTGCTTTCGGTAGTGGGGATGGGGACAGAAACGTCATCCGCAACGCAGTCGGTACTTACTGCTGTGGCAAAATATCTGACAAAAAGAACTTAAGGAAACAAGGTTTTGTTTTGCTTGCTCATGGTTTGAAGATGCAGTCCATCACGGCGGGAGGGCGGGAGCGTGAGGCAGCTGGTCACACTGCGTCCACAGTCAGGAAGGAGAGATGAGTGCTAGCGTTCAGCTCAGTGTCTCTTTATTTGGTCCCAGACCTCAGCCCATGGCAGGTGCCATTCACATTCAGTTAGGCATCTCTGGAAACGCCCTCATAGACGCACCCAGAGGCGTGTCTCCCGGGTGATTCTGAGTGCAGGCGATGGCTCCAACCTTCACGGTCTACCTTGTTCTCACACTGCCCCTCTCCTCACCGCACTTTGTAGCTCCACACTCACACCAGCCCACTCAGCAAGCCCAGCCAAAAGCGCATTTCAGTTTCAGGACACTCCCAGAACAGGGGTTACACAGTCACCTCTAAATCCATCACTGGAGTCGGGGATAGAGTGCCGCGATTGGCTAGGCCTCAGCCAGGAGCTTCTCCCACTTACCCCAGGGGAGGGGGCCAGCCAAGTTGGATGGACCTGAGGGGGCCAAGGAGCCATCTCCTCAGGGGAGAACAGCTTACTGTCAGAGATGAGGACTAGGCACCAGACAGGCGGGAGCCACCGTATTGCCGCCCTTGCAGCTAGAGTCTCCTCCCTCCAGCCCCGCACATCACTGCGCCTCTGTGAGCCTGTTTCCCTGTTTGTAGGTGATGGCCCCCGCCCTTCTTTTCTTGGCCCTGTCTGAGGCCTATGAGGCCGTGAACTGGGAAACTCTAAAGTGCTGTGCACACGGAAGTGCGGGTCACGGAGCAATTCCCACGCAACTGCTCTGACCCTCCTCTCCTCCTGTGTCTCCTCACAGAGCACCTGAAGAAGCCACTGGAAGACTACATGGCTCTTTTCCCCAGCGTCAGAATTCTCCGCACCAAGAAGCGGGAAGGCCTGATAAGGACCCGAATGCTGGGGGCCTCTGCCGCCACCGGAGATGTCATCACGTTCTTAGACTCTCACTGTGAAGCCAATGTCAACTGGCTCCCCCCTTTGCTTGGTAAGGAGCAGGCAGCCTGTGATGGGCCAGTGTCCTGCTGCCTCAAAATAATGCCAGGGCTCCCCTGCCTGCCTGAGAGCACCCAGCAGTGTGCCAGTCACCAGAATGGGCTCAGAAATTAAGAGGTGCTCAGAGGGACCTTAACACCCCTACGTTTCACAGGGGGAAGAAATGTTGAGTATCAGGGACTAGACTACTTTCTTGGATTGCTTTAAGTTTTGTTGAAGAGCAAACCAAGGCATTCTGCCGCTAAAAGCCAAATTACGCAGCCAGGGGCTATAGCTCAGTTGGTAGAGCGCTTGCCTAGCGTGTTTGACCCCCGGATTTAATCCCCAGCACTGCATAAACAGGACGTGGTGATGTACACCTGGGATCCCAGCACTTCGGAGGTGGAAGCAGGAAGATCAGAAGTTCAAAGTCCTCTTGAGTTAAATACTAAGTTTGAGGCCACCTTGGGCTACATGAGACCCTACCCTGAAACAATCAAAAGAACCAGATTATGGGAGGGGGATCTTTATGTCAGACAAACACAGATGCTGCTTTGCACCCGATACCGAGCCAGGCAGGTTGCAGGAAAGAGCACCAGGCCTCACGAGACCATGCAGGTCCCTTTTGTAGTAGAAGAAACCGATGCCCAGAGACACTCAGTAACTTCTTGTCCCCTTGGGCCGTATCAGTGTCAACATCACCATCGTTATACTCCGGAGTCTGTTCTTTTCCGTAGCTCCACGCTGCTCCCCAGGCTCCTTTCCTCTCAAGTACCCAGAAGGGCAGCATGGTCAGGAACAGTCCTCTGCAGCCTGTGGGCAGAGGGAGGTGTGGGGAGCAGATTGCTGGGGAAAGACCAGGCTGGGTCCTGAGGAGTTCACCTGGACGGAGGCAGTAATACCCAGCAGACATCAAAGAGCAGTGTTCTGTTAGGACCGGGAGGCACGGCTATGCCAGAGCAAGCCGTGACATTACCAACCTTGAGTGAAAAGTAAACCCCTCAAAAATGGGAGTTGAGATGCCCATCACAGAGAAATTAAGGAGCAAAGAGGACAGAAGTGGAGGCAAATGAGCAAGTGTCAGGAAGACTGTGCCACCCCAAAGGATGCCCCACCCTGGAGGCGCTGATCCCAGGACTCAGTGGGACCTCACACATTGAATTTCCATGTGGCTCCCAAGTGCCGCCTGGTCCCCAGAGCACAGGCCAGCAAATGTCATCACTTGGGTAAGGACTGAATGCCAGCTCCACAGAGTCCCACAGGATAGTCCAGCAGATTTGTTTCCTGATCCCGTTACAGAGAACTTTCCAGATCCTGCCCTTATGAGTCCCGGGCCCAGGATCTCACTGGATGGGGAAAAAGACCAGACTTTCTGGTAAACTCTTTCTTTAAACCAAGAGACTCTCATTATGGGGGGGGGTGAGGGAGAGAGAGAGAGAGAGAGAGAGAGGGAGAGAGAGAGAACATGAAAAAGACCTCAGCAACCGTCATCTCATTCACAGTGGAGGGTACTTCCGTGACTCGTAGGGAAAGAAGTGGCGGGCCATGGAGCTGAGCGTGTCGTCTAAACAGCCCTTAATGCTGTTTCTATGGAAATGTGTGAGGGCTATTTTCATCATTGTCAGATGTGCATGGAAGACACATCTCTCACTCTCCTTTTGCCAGTAGAAGCAGGAACTGTGGTGCGGATCTGCCGGTTCCCAGCGTGACTTTTGTCTGGGAACCCATTAACACCTCCACACTTGGCTCGCTCTGCCATCGTAACAATTAGACTAACCTGGGAGCCAGAGAAAGACTCTGCCCAGCAGGAAAGCTGCTGTGGGTCATCATCTCTGTCTGTCGTCACTGCGGCTTTGACAGCTCCTCAGCAGTTTAGGCCACACCTGTATTTGACAGACATGTATTCTGTGAGCATCTTTCAGTGACCCTGGTCACAGAGGATAGCCACAGAGTACCAGTGTCTCTGTCTTCACAGAGAGGCCTCTGGAAAGTACTGCATCCTGTGTCACCCACAAGGAAGCCAGGACTCAAAGGCATCAGCCAGCCGTGCCCAAGGCTGTATTGCCAAAGGGTAACAAGACAGGATGTGAATCTTGGCTTTCAGTTTCCAATCAAATACAGTGCCATGGGGCGGCACCCTCTGGCAGGGTGGGCCAGCAGAGCACCACACTCTCAGCACTAGCCTTCTGTGGAGCCTTTAGTAATAAGGGCAGAGGTCCTCTAGATCTTCCCCTGGAGGTGCCTTAGCATCAGGAAGACCCACCCTCTTGGGAACTTGTCCATAGGCAGATCCAAGCTACATGCCGGGGATTCTGACTCGGAGGATATGGAGGACAGTGTGGGGGTACAACTCACCCTAGATGCATCTGGTACTGGTCGCGGCACTCCACATTTGGGGATATATGCCACAGATGGCACTTCCATAACTGTGTGTGTGTGAAACACACCTATGCCTCCTGCGTGCTGGAAAATGCTGTACCACTGAACTCATCTCCAGCCTCTGTAATTGTTAAACTAGGTGTCAACCACGTGTCACAGTAGAAACACAGTGGCCATCTCAATACCATACACCCCTGCACACACACAGTGTGACTGAATCACTTCCTCAGGTTGGTTTGGCTGTCGCGGAATCTGGTGTCTCAAGAGCTGCTGCTGATAGTCACTGCTCTCCTGCCTGGTTGCACGCTTGCATGCACCTGTGGATTATAGCTTCAGTTTAGTCTTCATTCCTGGCCTTCTCCAGCCCTCCAGGCCTCCCATTCCTGGTCTTGACCTTGAACTTGAACAGCAGGCTCCCAGCACAGCTCACTTGCCTATTGGTATAGCAGATTGTCAACTGCACACAATCAGGGTGCCCTGGTGGGAGGGATGCTGGGTGGAGCAGACCAACGCAGGCATCCTGTTGGTACACTGGGTAGAGTGACTCAGCTCTCGCAGGCATACAAGGGACCGTGACACTAACTGGGTCAAGTCTTAAATCTGCCAGCCTGTAGCATTCCGCAGGGCAGCACGCACTGCCTGGATACCCTCTGGCTTGTGGACCTGGAACTTCCAAGACGGGCTGGTTCCCTCTTGCACAGCTAGGGCTGTTTGAAAACTTGATCCACTGAGCTCTGTTACTGAGGATCACAGCTATGCATGCCCAGGAGCAATGGGGACAGACAACCTGCTATGACAGCCAAGTGCTGGAGAGCCAGGCTGTCTGGGACCGTGAGTCTAAGGACTTGGAATAAGAAGCTGCAAGGCCAGGATCGAGGTCCTCACAAGGAAAACCATGCCCTCCCTTAGCAGAGCCCTGCACACAGAGGCCCCTGTCATGGATACTTTCAGGTACTGTCATATCCAGGCCTTGTAACAACCTCCTAGGCAGACCCTCCTACCCCTCTCCCAAGAGGAAAACCCTGGGGCTTGGAGAGGTTATCTGAGGAACTGCCTCCTGGAAGTCGGGGATAAGGTCTTAGTTCTTGCTGCAAAAGCCTACCATCTCCAGGGGCTGGTACATGCCTGTAATCCCAGCATTTGGGAGGAGGATCAGGAGGTCAAGGCCTGCCATGGCTACATAGTGAGTTGAACATAGGCAGAAGGATCAGAAATTCCAGGTCACCCTCAGCTGTGTACTGAGTTCCAGGCCAGCCTGGGCTACAGGCCTGCATTCTCCCTCTCTGTAGTTCCTAAACCCAGGTGTTGGGGGCTGTCACCCAGAGAATCGTTCAGAGTGAGTGCACTGTGGGACAGGTGCAGCCTCAGCTGCTGCCTCCACTAAAGGGCATTTCCCCACCTCAGACCGCATCGCTCGGAACCGGAAGACTATCGTGTGCCCCATGATCGATGTCATTGACCATGACGACTTCCGGTATGAGACCCAGGCAGGGGACGCAATGAGGGGCGCCTTCGACTGGGAGATGTACTACAAGCGCATCCCTATCCCTCCAGAGCTGCAGAAGGCTGACCCCAGCGATGCATTTGAGTAAGTACAACCGGCCCTGTTCATCCCAGCGGTGACCAGTGGGCCCTCCCAACACTATGGGATCAACACTTCCCCCCAACATCCAGTACAGATGGTCCAGGGTCCTCCGTGCACTCAGTACCAAAGCACCATCTGCCCTGCATCCAAAGCCTTGGCCTGCGGACCCCAAGCTGCTTCCCCCTCGGTGCCTTTATGAAGGGTGGGCCTCCTGCTGCCCCTCCTTGTGCCCACTTGTCACCGTCTTTGTTATCACCTGTGGGGCACAGTGCTGAGCGGTCCCCCAATCCTACCGAGCCCCCAACAGCTACGGGCAGCAAGCATTGCCACGACTGTCCTCCGAGAGGTGCTGGGGCTCCAGGAGGCTAAAACACCTGCTCGACTCCTACGGCCTTCCCAGCACCCTGTTCTGTTCTCTTCACCCCGTGCCAGGGTCAGGGTAGGGAAATAGCAGCTTGTATCCCAGCACGGGCTTGGGGTAGCCAGCATGTGGGGGCTGCGGGGCCACCACAGAGGAGAGGACCAGGGCCCCGGGAGAAGCAGCTTGTTCCAGGGGAACAGAGCAGGGCTGTCCCTTTCTGCACTTGGTTCTTCGCAGTGGAGGCCTGCAGCCCTGCAGCTGGCCTGAGAGTGCTCCTGCCAGAAGGTCGAAGCCAGCTTCAGAGATGAGGAGAAAGGGCAGGCACTCTAGTTGTGGTCAGTTAGCATGTGCTTAGAGAACAGCACTGGAGGCTGGGGGCAATGGAGGTAGTGGCCTGTTACCCCATTTACTTGGAGGCTGAGGCAGAAGGAGCACAAGTCCAAGTTCTGCCTGGGCTACAGAGCAAGTTCAAGGCCAACCTGGGCAACAGAAAAAAAGTTTAAAAAAGCCGGGCATGGTGGCGCACGCCTTTAATCCCAGCACTCTGGAGGCAGACGCAGGCGGATCTCTGTGAGTTCAAGGCCAGCCTGGTCTACATAGTGAGTTCCAGGACAGCTGGGGCTACAGGGAGACGCTGTTTCAAAAAGACAAAAAAAAAGGACCACAAGTGTAGCTCGCGGCAGAGCGCTTGCCTAGCATGTGCGAGGGCCTGGGCTCAGTCCGAAAACAAAAGCAAAAGACCCACCTGAAGTCTGAATGGTCAGAAGTCTGAGGTGAGTCTTCCCAGGCTAAGCGCCCTGGTGTTGGTGGGACTGTGCTCCCTCGGCTCCACCGGGAGGAGCCCCTTCCTGGGGAGGAGCCCCTTCCTGGTCTTTCCCAGGTCCTGCAGTGCTAACCCCTGCTCCTTCTCCAGCCCAAACGAAGCCCAGCATCTTCAAAGCTCTGTTTTCACCCCATCGTGCTGCCTTCCCCATTGACATCATCGCAGGTCTGCCTGACTCTCCTGCCTCCCTCCTTCACACACCCCATAATTCCATCAGGCTTACAGGGTCAGGGTCCCACGTCAAGGTTGTGCATCTGAACCCCACCATCTCACAGGTTCTAGGGATAAGGACACCAATCTGCCTCCCTGCTGTGGGCCCCTCATGGACCCCACGTCCTCTGTGCCTTCCTCTCCTTCTGAGAAAGGGGCTGTTGTGGCAGAGCTGTTTGTGGGCACAGTGCACACCTGGGGCTCCTCACAGGAGCCCCTTGATGTTGTGGGCTCCAGAGAAGGCCTGGGGGAGAAAGAGGCGTTAGATGATTACAGCCTTCTCCTGACCACCTTCATCCTCAGCATGGACAAGCCCAGTTACAGCTGTCCCGGTCCAGAGTCATCCTGCCTGACTTCAGTCCAGGCTGGTTTTCATGCAGTCTTGGGGCTAATTTCCTGTGAAGTACAAACAGTTCCCCACACACTGTGTATTAGTCCCCTCCAATGACTAAACCCAAGCCCCGCCATCATCAGAAGACACAGAGCCTACGAGCCACCCCGTCTTCACAGCAGGCCTACCCGAGCCACCCCGTCTTCACAGCAGGCCTACCCGAGCCACACTGCCTTCTCTTGCACTGCAGGAAGGTTGCAGTGCAGTCTGGCCATGACAGAAAGGCCAGCTAGCCCTCTGTGCAGGGGGATCAGGCTGTAGAACTGTAGGCACAGAGGTGATGTTCAGCCTCCAGGTGAACCACGTAAAGAAAGATAAAGAGGTGGGGCCAGGAGTGCGGCCCTGTGACAAAGCACTTGCCTGAGGTGTGTGAAACCCCGGGTTCTAGCCTCAGCACTGCAGCTCATATTAACACCTGTGATTGTAGCACTTGGAGGCGGGCGGGAGAATCAGAAGTTCAAGGTCATCCCCATCTACATAGTGAATTTGAGACCAGCCTGGGCTACATGAGACCTTATCTCAAAAACTGAAGAAAAAAAAAGTAACAATAATAAATTTTAAATTAAATATATATTTTAAAATAATATAAAATTTAGGGGCTGGACAGATGGCTCAGCGGTTAAGAGCACTGACTGCTCTGGCAGAGAACCCAGGTTCAGTTCCCAGCACCGGGAGGCTAACAGTTGACTGTAACTCCAGTCTAGGGGATCTAACTCCCACTTCTGACCTCTGCAGGCATTGCACAACACAGGCACACTTACATACATGAAGGCAATACACTCATAGACATAGAAACATAAAATAAAGAAATAAATTATTTAAAATAACAAAATTTAAACGGTAAATAGAATTAAGTAAGGTTCATTTTAATATTATCTAAATTTAAATTTTTTTTAATTTTTTACATTTACTTATCTAGTGCACACACCATGGTGTGCATGTGGAGGTCAGAGGACAATCAGCAGGAGTTGGTTCTCTCCTTCCATGTGAATCCTGGGATCAAACTCAGGTCCTTGGTCTTGGCAGCAAGCACCTTTGCCCACACAGCGTAGGTATCCACATGGCAGAGGTGTCCACACGGCAGAGGTGTCCACACGGCAGACGCTGGGCAGCTCCTGCCTGGTGCTACCCGGTGTGCGGCACATCACATCCCCTGGACCCTATCCCATGGTACCCCCACTTCCTAGTCTGCTGGCCACTCCCACACGTCATCTCCGTACCTTGTGTCGTTCCCTCCTCCGGGCGCCTTCTCCTCTGGGGCTTCCCTCCTTGCTCCTGCCCACCTGCTCACCCCAGGGCTGGAAGCAGACACCATCTTTGCCCTCCTACAGTGCTCTTGTCTGTGCCTCCCAGAGGCCTTTGCTGTATACGCCGCTGTCTCCTGGATCCTCTGTGCTGAGACAACTACTCCATGCTGCTGTCCCCTGAGGACACTGGTTTGTCTCCTGACCCTGCCAACACCTGGTTCATGGCTGGCATTCAGTGATAAATCCATGAGGAAAGAAGAAAGGGGATGGTCGGATGGACAGACATAGTTCATCCTTCCTCCCAGAGCAACTGGAAGGACAGACTGAGCTGCTGTAGATAGCTCAGCCAAGCAAGAGCCTTCTGGGCTCAGAATCCTCCGAGGAGCCAGCTCGAAACCAGGTGCCTGGGCTCTGGCCAGAGGCTGTTTCCGCAGGTCTGGCCGAGGCCCAGCAAGCTGTGCTGTTTTTCCGTCTCTCTAGTAGACTCTGAAGCACATAGACACCTGGTTCCAACCATATAACTGTCTGTGATGTAGCTGTGAGACCCCAGGGGAAGAGGGCTGCCATGGTTTCATTTCACACAGCACCTCGGGTGTTAATCACACACGACGAACTTGGGATTCTTTGGTTAAAATGCACTGTCTGTGAGGGAAAAGGACAGGCACGAAAGTGGGCCAGGCCAGGGGGTCAGCGTCGACAAGCCAGATCTAGAAACATCAGCTAGCATCCTGGCATCTCCTGCACCGGCCAGCACCTCTGCCCCTGTCCTCACTCCGTGTTCTTCTCTGACAGGTCTCCCGTGATGGCTGGAGGGCTGTTTGCTGTGGACCGGAAGTGGTTCTGGGAGCTGGGCGGGTACGACCCAGGCTTGGAGATCTGGGGAGGGGAGCAGTATGAGATCTCCTTCAAGGTGAGCTGGAGTCCTGGGAGCCCCTTCTGGATGCAGCTGCTGTGGCTGGTTCTGGCAGATGCCTGCCTCAGCCTCCCCATAGGCTTCTGGGTAGAGAGGTCAGAGGCCGGAGGGGGTGGAGAGGGCATTGAAGGGACCCTCAGGCTGTCAAAGACTGGTCTCAACCACAGCTCTGGCTGGCTGTGCTTCCAGTCAAGATGGTGAGTGTGTGACTCAGGCACTCAGCAGGCCAGCACAGGGAAGGGGAAAGGCCGGCAGGCCTAGGCATGAGGCCGAGGCTGGAGCTGTGCTGAGGACAGCCATGTGGCCTCACAGAGTCTGGGCTGGCCTATGTAGCCATTCTCTGAAGTCTTTCCTGTTGTGTCTGTCAGAGCAGAGACCACTTGGGTAAAAGCTCTTCTCATGGAGACAGGAAGTGGTTTAGGGTACCTCGCCAGGGTTCCTTCCTCAGCTGAAGAAAAAGAATGAGACCAGTAACCCCCACCCCCACACACACACACACAGCACAGGACCTAGGAAGGTAACTGTGACCAGAAAGTGGCTCAGCACAGAGCCTGGACCACCACAGACATTGCTAAAGATGAAAGGAATGACTAGTTAACAACTACTAATGTGAGCCCACATTCTCCTCTGTTTGTGGGGTTCTGACCTGGTCCCAGGTGAAGAGGTGCCCTCCCCTTGTAAGAGGGAAGGTAGCTTGTCCTGTGTCCTTGTGGTCCATCAGAACCAGTATCCAGGGCCAGTGAGACAGCTCAGCGGGTAAAGGTGCTTACCAACAAACCTGGCCACCCGAGTTCCAACCCCAGAACCCACACATACACCATGCACCTATATGCGCACATATGACAACAGAACCATGATTCAACATGACCAGCCCCCGACTGACAAATCCTCAGCCCACAAGGGATGGCCAGCCGCCAAGCTGACCTGGGTTTGGGCATCAAGCTCAAATACAGTGATCTGCTGTCAGACAGTGGTGAAGACTTCAGGGCCAGACCCTGGTGGCCAGTGCCATGTCTTAGATCTGCCACTTTGAGCAGACATCTCCCCTCACTGAGCTTCAACTTGAGCTTCCTTACAGTGAGGTCGGTGAGACTTCAGCACTCAGCGTTGCTGGGAGAATTATGGAGACCGTGCTTGGTAGAGGCTTTTTACTAATGGTCCAGAAGAGCATGATCAATATGCCAATACCATCTGCAGAGCTGGTCAGTGGTTCAGAACCAGGAGCACAAATGCATGAGTAGCAAAAAAAACCGCCACCTAGAATTCTTCCCAAACAGCACAGTGGTGTAAAGGAGCAGGCTGTGTCTGCTTCAACCTCCAGGTCTCTGACACCAGCTCCCTTGAGAGGACCAGCCCACAAATAAAATTAATGTTGATACTGAGGGTAATGCCCAGAATATTTAGCAACTACAGTGGCATCAACCAGTCAGAAAAGATGTGTAGGAACAGCGTACCCACTGGAGGAGGAGGTAGGAAGGAGCTCAACTCCAGCCCTGGTTGGACCTCACGAGATGCCGCCCCCAGGCCTTCACACGTGTTGGCCTGTAAAATACCCACAGCTACCTGTGAGGATGAGGTCATTGTTGTACCCTTCAGAGGGGGAAAAGTAGGGCTCAGACCACAAGTCTGTGGAGTCCAGGCCAGGGCCTGAACCCAAGCCTGCTGGCCCCAAAGCCCACATACCGGCCCAGCCGAGTGGTGCAGGCCTCTCGTTGGAACAGCGGACAAAGCGGTTCAGAGCGATGAGCCTAATGGTTGGCTGCGCTTGGCCCCTTCCCGTCGATTTTTGCCCTTCCTGGGGTTTATTCCTTAAGCTTTTAGTGAATGGAATGAATAGCGATTTAAGTCAGAAGTAGCAATGGAGGGCAGGAGAGGTGGCTCAGCAGGTAAGAGCATCTACTGCTCTTATAGAGGACCTGAGTTCAGATCCCAGCTCACAACCATTTGTAACTCCAGCTCCAGGGGAATAAAACGCCCTCTTCTGGCCTTCTTGGGTACTTGCATTCATGTGCACAAATCCACACTCACACACACACATCATTTTTTTTAATTAAAATCTTTAAATTAAAAAAAAAGAAAGCAAATAAGCTTTTTCCTGACACCTTTGGCCCACTGGTAGGGGCTGTGCTGATATACATTCTGAGGCTTCATCCAAGCTCGTCACAAACAGAGATTGATTAGTGCTGTCTGCCATGGGCGCAGATTTGGTGAATGAGCACGCAAAGGTCAAATCCCATGCAATTCCTATCCCATGCAATTGAATTTTGAAAATACAACATTCCATGAGTTCAGCGAAATCTCATGCATAGAATCAGAAGTTTCAACTTCAGTCAACAATCTGTGTACCAGACATTGATTCATGAAGCATGCTTCCAAATTTGTGCCCGGAAACAGAGTCATCTGAGTTGGGAGTTCTCACCAGGTGCCAGGTGTCCTAGTTTGTTTCTACACTGCTGTGACAAAACACTCTGACCAATACCAACTTGGGGAGGAAAGGGTTTATTTATCTTACATCTCCCAGGTCACTGTTTATCAGGGAGCCCAAGGTAGGAACTTCAGGGCAGGAACCTGGAGGCAGGAGCTGGAACATAGGCCGTGGAGGAACACTGCTTACTGACTTGCTCCTCTGGCCCATGCTCAGACTGCTTTCTTATGCAACACAGACCCTCCTGCCCAGGGGTGGCACCACCCACAGTGGGCTGGGCCCTCCCACATCACTCAACAATCAAGAAGATGCCCACAGACATGGCCACAGGCCAGTCCAATGGAGGCAATTCCCCAATTGAGGCTCCCTCAACCCAGGTGTGTCAAGCTATCACTAATGCATCCAGCACAATTTAACCCCTTGTCAACTTGACATACAAACATCACTATTAAACCACAATCTTTCCAATTCTTATCCCCAAGATATGATGTTAACATTAATATCACAACAAAAGACAGTAAAACCTTAAAAGCCCCACAGTCCTTAAAAAATCCAAACACTTAAAAGTCCACAGTCTCTTTTAATAGTCTCTTAACTGGGGACTCCTGTAAAATCCAAAACAAGTACTGTCTTATTTCAAAGGGAAGAATCGGGCACACCTAAGCAAAACCAAAATCCAGCAAAATAGCTCAAGGCTGGACATCTGGGATTCACTCACGATCTTCTGGGATCCAAAGGGTTCTGGCAGCTCCACTGCTCTGACTCTGCCATCCACAGCACACACAGCTCATCTCGCAGACCCAGGCCAGCTCCATTCCACACCTACTGCTGTCTTTGGTGGTCGTCCCATGGTCCCGGCATCTCCGAAAAGCTGGGGTCTCCACTGAAACTGAGGCTACACCTTCACCAATGGCTTCTTCTTGCCTCTTGGGGTGCAAAGCCTCAGATTCTCTCCATGACCCCTTCAATCCTGGGGTCTTCGCTGCAACTGAAGCTGCACTTTCACCTATGGCCTTTCCTGGCCTCTCAGAGTGCCAAGCCTCAGCTGCTCTCTGTGACCTCTTCACGCTTTTAGTACCAGAACCATGCAGGAGACTCTTACACATTACCAAGTCCTGCTTCCAGCTTGAAATAGAGGTGCGGGTCCCCTCTGTGTGCTGACCCTGAGGAAATACCTCCCAGAAGATTCCACCACAGTGATGCTGGTCTCTTGTTACTTACAGCTGATTTTTCAGCCCCAGTTAACCAGCATCAATTGATCCAGTAAAGCAAAGGCTTTGCTTCAGGTTCTGGTCTCTTACAGCTGATTCTTCAGCCCCAGCCGACCAGAACCCACAGATTCCCAATCCAAAAATCTCACACGAACAGCCCTGATAGTCTCCGCTTCCCTTTGAAGCTTTACAAGCCAGGCCTCCATCGTCTACAACTGTTTCAGCATAACTGTTCCAAGCTCCACAGCAACAAACTCTGAGCACGCAATGGCTTTTCCAGCCCAAAGTTCCAAACACTTCCACAGTCCTCCCCAAAACACCAAGGTCAGGTGTCACAGCAATATCTATCACAGCAATATCCCACCCTCTGGTACCAATTTCTGTCCTAGTTTGTTTCTCCATTGCTGTGACAAAACACTCTGACCACTACCAACTTGGGGAGGAAAGGGTTTATTTGTCTTACATTTCCCAGGTCACAGTTCATCAGGGAGCCCAAGGTAGGAACTCAGGACAGGAACCTGGAGGCTGGAGCTGGAGCACAGGCCATGGAGAAACGCTGCTTACTGGCTTGTTTCCCTGGCCCCTGCTCAGCCTGCTTTCTTATCCAACACAGGACAACCTGCCTAGGGGTGGCACCACCCACAGTGGGCTGGGCCCTCCCACACCACTCAGCAGTCAAGAAGATGCCCCACAGGCATGGCCACAGACCAGTCCTATGGAGGCAATTCCCCAATTGAGGCTCCTTCCACCCAGGTGTGTCAAGTTGACACTAATGCATCCAGCACACCAGTGGTGCAGGGATCACTTGTGCCCCACTCGGTGCTACATCTGCAGCACTGCCTGGCATGGGAAGGCGCTTAGCAAATATCTGTTGCTTGACTACTCAGCACAGCTGTGTCATGGCCAGAGCCTGCTCCAAGTTCCCGGCTCTTTGGCTCTCCAGAAACTCCCACTGTGGAAAACAGCAAACTGGTCACAAAGGGATTTCTAAACCCGAAATGATTTCATTTGATTCCGTGTGTTTGAAAGACCCATCTAATGTCACTCATCAGGCAATCACGGCAGAACAAATGTGTTTTCTTCTTCCTCGACACAGTTTATTTACAAAAGGCTCAGTAATGAAGCCATGCTGGAGGCTTGGGGAGGAGGCTGGCTCGAATTCCATCTGATCCAATTATGTTGGTCACTCTCCAGGGGAAATGAGCTGGTGTAATGAGGGGCCTTGGGCTCTGGAAGGGAGGAGTTCCTCCTTCAGCTTTCTCTCCTGGCTTGAGAACTGGGTTTCCTGGAGCCAGGACAGCCCACCTGCAGGTGCAGTGTTCCAAGCTGAGGGCCAAGAGAGGCCCATCCATCTGCCTCAGTGCCTCAATGAACATGCAGCTCTGCCTTAGTCGGGGCTGGGCCTCTCCCAAGGGCCAGACACCCTCTGATTAATCTCTGCTGAGACTCCCTTCTTCGTAGTGATGGAGAAGACAGTGACTTGAAAGTCACCAGTGTATTTCCAGAAATTAAGATGAATCTATCTGTCCCATCAGGCCTGACAGATTAATAGTCTGGCTCTAATTCCAGACCAGGCCTGTTTCTCCTGGTGGGAAAGTTCCAGAAAAGACATTCCAGGGCTGAGGACATAGCTCATTTGCAGAGCGCTTACATAGCATTTGTGAGTTACTATCACACACACACACACACACACACACACACACAATATCTGTGTCACCACTGATGAATGGTCAGGCGTGGTGGCACACGATTGTAGTCTCAGTATTCAGAGGCTGAGGCAGGCAGATTGCTGTGAGTTTGAGGCTAGTCTGGGCTGCATAATAGCAACACTCTGTCTCCCAAGAAAGAAACAGAGAGAGAGACAGAGAGAAGGGAAGGGGAGGGGAGGGCTAAGGATATAGCTCAGTCGGTAGAGTGTGTGTCTAGCATGCACGAGGCTCTGGGTTCAATCCCCAGAATTTAGTGGTGCGTGCCTGTGTTCCCAGCATTTGGGAAACAGGAGAATCTGGAGTTCAAGGCCAGCCTGTGCTGCATGAGACCCATCCCAAAATAAAACTGAAACCTTCCCAAGTCCCTAGAACCTCTGGAACAGTCACTGGTGCCGTGTGTCTCCTTGTCCCTGACCCTAACAGGCCTCTGTTTCCCAGAACTCACTGAGTCGGCCCCCTGCTTGGAGGTAGGCATCTTGTCAGCTTTAGGCTGGCTAAATCTTGGGCTCCGTAGCTCCGTCTCCCACCAGCTTCTCCTCTCTTTCCACCTCCCCCCCTCCCCTCTGACCCCATCATTCAATGGAACTCTTGTACAAATGAGCAAACCCAAATCAACGTAACATATGTAAAAGGCTTAAAGACCCAACATTGCCGCAGTTCCCAGATGTGCCAGGCTTGGTGCAGAGACCCACCCCTCTCACAGGGGTCCAGGCAGTCTGCTATGACTCCCTCTCTATGCTGTGTCTCCTGGAGCTCCCCAGCAGCCCAGTAAAAGGGGCTCTGTCTCCCTCACCTGCAAGAGACTCCTTGAGTCTCCTTGACCTGATGGTTTCTTGCCCAGCCCAAAGCCAGCTGCAGCCTCTGGCCCTCCTGGAGCCAGGATAGGGGTCAGCTGGGGAAGGACTTGACTTCTGCAGGCCTCTGAAGTGAGAGGTGCCATGCCGAGATGGAGGCAGGGATTGAAGACAGCGTGATTGACTGAGACAGAGCCAAGCCTGGGGACTGGGACCTGCCTTGGCCCCTGCAGCCCGGCACCTCAGGATGCCGTCCTAGGCCTCTGGCTGTCTCTCCCAGGAAGGAGTGTGTCCCCGACCCCACCCTGATCTCAGTCCTGAGATTCCATCTTTCCAGTTGAGAGTTGTCCTAAGACAGAGGTGAGGAACAGAACCATGGTAGTGACATGCTCTGGCCTCCTGTGTCTGTCCCATTTCACCCAAGGCAGCATGAAGCCAGGATCCAGCCAGAGAGCGATGGGACTGAGGCCTTCACCCAGGACAGAATGACACCATCTGCTTCAGCCAGTGGCTACTCTCTTGGCTAAGTTACCACAAGCAAAACGACACCGGATCCAGGGCCTGCCCACAGGAGCAACTCGCCCTCTTTCAGCCATCCTCCTGTCCCCACACCCACTGGGTCGCTTCATTCACTTGCCCCTCCAGAATCCTGCAAGGACAGACGGTGCGCCTGTCACAGACAAAGCCTGGTGCCAGGCACTGGGGGCCACTGACAAATCCAGCAGGTGAGACACCCTCCACGCAGACTCTGCGTGGAGGATGCAGAAGGCTGGAAAGGACTTTCACACGGAAAGGAACAGAAAACCATCTTACGCTGGAGTCGCCAAGAATCGGGGAATGTGTCTGCAGCAAGACCAAGCCCAGGTTTCCAACAGGTGGCCGTCCCTCTCCACATGGCCCTCCCCCATGCTGGCGGCTGCTACAGGCCTATAGGGCCCTCTTGACTGGTTACAGAGGGGCCACTGGCAGCTGCAGTTTTCTCCTGTGGCCCCCATCCCAGAGCCTCACTGCATCATGACCATGAGCATACCCATGAGCCATGTGGGGTGGTGCACACCTGTAATCTCATGTAATCTCAGCACTCGGAAAGTAAAGGCTGGCAGATGGGGAGTTTAAGGCCAGCCGGGCTACAGGAGATCTTGTTGCAAAATAACAAAGATGGGCATGGTGGTGTGTACCTATAATGCCAGCACTGGCGAGGCAGAGACAGGAGGATCCCTGGTGCTCTCTGGCCAGCTAGCCTAGACTACTTGGCAAGCCCCAGGCCAGTGTCAAAATAGTAGATGGCACCTGAGGAATGACACCCAAGATTAACCTCTGACCTCTGCACATATTCACACACCCGCACACACACGCGTACCCATGAGCTAGGCATAGTGGCACATTCTTATGGTTCCAGCACTTAGGAGATGAAGACTCGCAGATGAGAAATTCAATATCATCCTCAGATGGGGCTGGAGAGATGGCTCAGGAATTAGAGCACTGGCTGCTCTTGCAGAAGACCCAGGTTCAATTCCCAGCACCCACATGGTGGCTAACAACTGTAACTCCAGTTCCAGGGGATCCGATGCCCTCTTCTGACCTCTGAGGGCATTGCATGATATGTGCACACTTGCATGCATGCAAGACACTAATACACATAAAGTAAAAATAAGAAATAAGAAAAAATCCAAAGAAAAAGATCATCCTCAATAGTGAGCTCAAGGCAGCCTGAGCTACATGAGATCCTTTCTCAAAAACAAACAGAAATATCCTCAGCCTCAGCACCCACAAGGGTAAGGACTGCAGCTGGCTAGCTGGTCACCAGCCCCGGGAAGAACAGGTAGGCGGACAGTCCCCCACACAGTAGGAGTACTGACAGGCAGAGACCGCCAAGCCCACTGCAGGAGGACCACAGCCAACACTCATCCATGCAGACAGTTACTGTGCTTCAGACAAAAGCAAAGAAGAAATCCCACCATGTGCTGTGTGGGCAAGGGGGGGGAGGGAGCCCCTGCTGAGATCCAAGATCTGCACAGTGTTGGAAGGTAGCCGAGGTCAGGAAGCAGCTATGGGAGCATCGGGCCAGAACACAAGAGAGAGATGAGAGAAGACGCCCCAGGGAACACCTCGGACATGCTGGCGTCCTGGGTGATGCCAAGAATGGGTAGTCCAAGCAGGGTGCCCGGTGGACTCAGTAGCCAGCAGCAGTCTGAAGGGAAGGAACTCTCATGTTGAGTTGGCCGCCAGCGCCTCCATTCTGGGCGGGGGTCCAGGGAGTAAGCCCAGCGCCTGAAGCCAGGTCCTCCTGAAGTAGCAGATAATCCTGAGCTCTGGGAACATCTTTGCTGCCTCGAGCCTCCTGGCAGAGCAAGGACACCCCATGTCCTGTGTCCTTCAGGCTGGTGGTTCCTCAGGATCCTCTAGGCGGCAGCCAGTGCAGACAGGGCTAAAGGAACTGGAGGTTTGAGCAGAGAGAGGGCTTTGGAACTTGGTCACCTGTTCGCACAGTGGAAGGCACCCTAGCCAGGCAAAGCTTGGAACAGCCTTGGCTGGTGCGAAAGTGAGGGGAGCTGGCCACTGACCTGGTCAGCTGCCTGGAAGACCTTCAAAACCAGAGCAGGGCAACGTGTCCTCACAAGCTCAGCGCCACCTCTACGAAAGGCAAAACAGGGCCTGGCAACGAGCAGACATAGCCACCTGGTGGGATCATGCTTCCCTGTCACCCCTTTCTGAGGGGACAGTCACTGTGATCAATATCTTTTACTTTAAAACTAAACTTGGCCGGAACTCATTGTCTTGAGATCACTGTTGCGTTGGGTTGACTTGCCAGGGCTTTCCTCTCACCCACAATCAGAACAGAACTTCATTGCTCCACACAGAACTCCACTAACTGCATGTGGAGACAGCGTGCATCCTGCATCCATGCAGGACCGCTGCAAGAGCCCAAAACAGTGGAACTTCAATGAAGCCCAGCCTCCGGCACCCACCAGGCGGATCAAGGCAGCAAAGGCTCTGTGCAGAACTGGGGTCATCAGTGTCCTACGCTGGTCCCTCCATGGCCAAAGCCCCGGTGGCCTGGAATGTGGACCGTTACCGGCCCAGGCCTATACCCACAGCATTCCATGAGCAGCGCCATCCTTGTATCGTTGGACATCTTGCACAGGTTACCACAGCTGCTGTGGGTTCGGGAAGGCAGTGGCCATGTCATGCTCGAGGTTTTTTTGTTCTAGCCCCACCACAGCGTCTGCCCGTCCCTTGGCTTCTCTTCCCTATGTCCACAGTGGGCCCTGTATGGAGTGCCAGGCTGCTGTGACTGTCAGCTCTCCCCACTGCAGCGTCTTTGCTGTATTTGAATCGCCATTATGCTGTGCTTTGGCTTCAGAAGATCGGGATGTGCTGGCCTTCGAGGGGGTGGGGATGCAGAGACAGGCCCATCACCTCTCTTCTCTCCCCGCAGGTGTGGATGTGTGGGGGCCGCATGGAGGACATTCCCTGCTCCAGGGTGGGCCACATCTACAGGAAGTATGTGCCCTACAAAGTCCCTGCTGGAATTAGCCTGGCCCGGGTAAGGTGGGGGCTTTCTGGGGGGCTGGAGACAACCCTGGGCTCCAGGCTAAGTAGCTGCTAGCCGATCTCCAAGTGAAATCCAATGTAAAGGGCTGGGATGGGGAGAAGGGGGTTAGGGGAGGGAGATGGGGGCATTAAATATCTTGGAAAAAAAATCAAAGTGACCTCAAAAGAAAAGCGAAGGCTGATGCCACGGCGAAAGCCACCACACAGCTTGGGCACAGGAAAGGTCAGGGCCCAGGCACACTCTGACAAAGGGGCTTCGGGGACCATCTAGCTCAGTACCCCGACTCCTATCATCCTGGGTTCCCCAACTGCTGTCTGCCTTCCCAGGCTTTGCAAGCGAGGATTCTGCTGCAGAGCCCAGACAAGGCCTTGAAGGTGGCCAGCAGCACCCTCTAGTGTCCAGTGTCTCTAAGGACAGCCTCCAGGCCCACTGCGCTTTGGACTGCCCCTTGGCAGAGCTCTGGGTACCAGATTAGGCCCACACAAAGGCAGTAATCATCTGAGATGCCCTTGGCCTTCCCCAAGGAATGCCAGGCAGGACCCAGAATCCACACCACCTCCTGCCCACCAGCCAGAGAGGAGCGTTTGGAAGGCTGTGGTGACTCCCTAGAAACCTTCCTTCCAGCCTGGCGTCCTGCAGAGCAGCAAGCACACTGATCTTCCTCTCCCGGGTTTTATTCTCCACAGTTACGGAGAGTGAAACAGAGACATTAAATAACTCAGACCCCAACCCAGACTTCCTTGAATCTGACAGGCGCCTGGGAACCATGCCCTGAACGGTGGCTTCTGTCATTGAGACTAGCGTTAAGTGGCAGCATCTCTGTTAACAGCTGAGGCTGAGCATGAAGCTTCTGTGTCTCATACAAGTCCTGTTTGAGCATTAATGCCCTTGGATGACTGTCAGGTCCTGCGTTTGACATGGACCAGCCCAGGTAGCATCCCACCTCCTCCCTGTGGGCCCAGCTGCCCCTTTCTGGCTCTGTTTCAGGTGCCAGCTTCCATTGCATCTGCTCACAGCCGTCATTCGGTTGCAGGTCAGATGCAAACTGTTTAGTCTTCCCGGCACTCGGGGAGGTGAGGCAGGGTGATGGCGAATTCAAGGCCAGCCCAGGCTGCATAGCAAGATCCTGTCCCTCAAAACAAAAAGTTGGCCCAGTATATTAACAACCAAATCTAAAGCGTTCTAGAGCCCTAGCTCCCAGAACAACACTTGGGGGTTCCGGCGGTACCAAGAGAGCCTGTGTGCTGCCACACGACACTCCCACCTCTAGGCCAAGTACAGGCTGGTCTGTAACTGAGGCACAGAGAGGTGTCCTGCAGCCAGAGGAGAGGGGTTAAGGGGCATATGAAGGCATATGAACCCTGAAGGCCTTTCAGACCCCTAACAAGGGAGACATCTTGGAAGTCACTGCAGCCAGTGGGATGGCTCCGCACGTAAAGGTACCTGCTGCCAAGCCTGACAGCATGAGTTCAGTCCTGAGGACCCTCGTAGCAGCAGGAAAGAGCCAGTTCCCACAAGCTGTCCTCTGGCCTCTGTGCTGTCTCTGTCTCTCTCTCTCTCTCTCTCAACTATAGTGATTTTGTTTGTCGTTTTTGTTTCTTGAGACAAGATCTCACTATGTCATTGTGGCTGGCCTAGAACTCCCTGTTATAGACCAGGCTGGTCTTGAATTCACAGAGATCCACCTGCCTCTGCCTCCTGAATGCTGGGACTAAAGGCGTGCACGACCATGCCCGGCTAATATAATTTTTTGTTTAAGAAGCAACTGGCAACTGGAAAGTCCTCCCATTGGGTCTCGTCAGCTATGCCAAAGGCCAGTGTCTGGGAGAAATGGCATGCTCTACCATGTCTAGAAAATACAGCCATGCATTGGTGATTTCAATAGAACCAGATGTGCAGCACAGCTGTTGGGGAGACTGAGGCAGGAGGATTACTATGACTTTGGGGCCAGCCTGGGCTACAGAGCAAGACCTTGTCTCAAAAGAAACACACAAGGCTAGGAAGATGATTCATGGGTAAAGTGTTTGCTTTGCAAGTGTGAGGACCTGAGTTTGGATCCCCAGTCCCCACATAAAAGCCAGTACAATGGCTCTGCACTGTGGAGGCAGAGATGGGGGGCGTCCCCAGGGCCTGCTGGCTAGGCAGGTGGTCTAGCAGAGTTAGTGAATTTCAAGTTCATTGAGATACCCGCTGTCAAAAAACAAAGTGCGAAATTATGGAGGAAAGCACTTAACATGGATCTCTGGCCTCTACATGGGTATGCACACCTGCACACATGTATATACACAAAAAAAAGAAAAGAAAAGAAAAACAAACAAACATGCAGATAATAAGCCAAAGGTCTTGATGGCTAAGCCAGGGAAGAAGAGTTCTGTGTTCCAGAATGTTCCTGGTACACAGGCTCTGGGGCCTTCCACTTCCACCAGGCGCAGTTTGAAATGAATCATAGCCTTTGCTGCACTGGCACCTGGTGGCAGTAACTCTCTGCACTGGGCTCACTGTCTCTGAGGTCCCAGTCTGAGTCCCACCATAGGGCAGGGTCCCTGTACCTGTGAATGGCTTCCTTCCCTTCACTTCCCTGTACAGAGACAGTGACTTTCTGTGTGGCTCAAGAGCTAAGGATGCTTTTCACAGTTTCAAACAGGTGGGGGGAATCAAAAGAATTTGTGATACAGGAAAATCAAATGGCAGCATCATAAAGTTTTATTGGTGCGTAGCCACTCCCCCTCATTTACATAGCATCTCTGGCTGTTTTATGGCTCTCAGCCTTGAGACCATCTGGTGTGCAGAGCTCAAATCTCCACAAGAAAATACTTGAACATTTGCTAGCCCTGCGATACCATCCCCTCCTAGAGCAGTCCTTCACACCTAGGTGAGAATAACTGGTTACAGCCTAAAGCCTTCAGAAGAAAATCCAGATTAACTTCAGGACAGGGATCAAGACTGCCCAGTTACATGTATGTGTCCTGGGGGGGACAGATCGGCCCCTGGCAACAGCCAGAGGCTACAGGAAGAGATTTCCAAGCAGGAACAGCCCCTGAATCCTGAGTGTGCTTTGAAGTTCTGCCCGGAGTCTACACTGCTTCCGAAAGCAGAATTTTCTCACGGTTATCACGCAAGGCTTCGATCTTCCAGACCTGCAGGCTGTCTCCTTATCAGGGGCCTCTGATTGCCACTGGTGGTTGGTTTTCTAATCAACCGTCCTTTGGCTTTATAATAAAGGGCTTGTTAGAAATCCTGCCTACTACTGGGATTAGACCTTTGGGGTGCACATTACTTTTATCATGGAAATTGGTCAGAATTCTTGGTTGAAAATGACAGATCCCCAACTTGGGTTGGCTTTGCAGAGCTGAAGAGATGACTGGTTGGGTAAGAGTGCCTTGGTGCGGGCTGGAGAGATAACTCGGCAGTTACGAGCACTGGCTGCTCCTGCAGAGGACCTGGGTTCAGTTCCCAGCACCCACATGGCGGCTAGCAATCATCTGTAACTCCAGTTTCAGGGAATCTGACACCCTCTTCTGATCTCTGCAGGCATTGCATGACATGGGTGTGCTTACATACATGCAGGCAATACACTCATACACAAGAAAATTAAAATAATAAAATAGTTTTTAAAAGAGTGCCTGGCTGCACAAGCATGAGGATCTGAGTTTGGATTCCAGCACCCACATAACAAGCCAGACTGAACCCTTGTGCCTGTAACAGCCTGGGGATGGATGGGCAGAGGCAGGAGGGTCTCTGGGGCTTGCTGGTCCCCTGCCTAGCTCCAGTCTCAGTGGGAGACCTTGTCTCAAAGGAATAGGGTGGAGAGTGATAGAGGGCACCCTGGAGACAGGAGAATTGGGAGTTCAAGGTCAGTCTACCACACAGTGACTTTGAGGCTAGCCTGGGCTATGGGATACCCTGCCTCAAAATATATATAGAGAGAGAGAGAGAGAGCGCGCAAGGTAGGCATCGTGGCACCAACCTGTGATCCCAAGACTTAGGAGATGGAGGCAGGAGGATCAGAAGTTCAAGGTCATCTTCAGATATTTAGCAAATTTGAGGCTAGCTCAAACTTGAATACAGCCCTGTCTCAAAAAAACTATAATCAGCCGGGCGTGGTGACGCACGCCTGTAGTCCCAGCACTCAGGAGACAGAGGCAAGCAGATCTCTGTGAGATCAAGGCCAGCCTGGTCTACATAGTGAGTTCCAGGTTAGCTGAGGCTGCAGGGAGACCCTGTCTCAAAAAGGCAAATTAAGAAAATCTGTCTTTGTGGGGCTGGAGAGATGGCTCAGCAGTTAAGAGCACTGCTTGGTCTTACAGAGGACCTGGGTTCAATTCCTAGCACCCACATGGCAGCTAACAAATGCCTGTAACTCCAGTTCCAGGGGATCCAACGGCCTCTTCTGTCCTCCAAGGACACTGCACGACATGAGTGACTTACACACATGCAGGCATAACACTCATACATGTAAAATAAAATAAAAATTTTTAAGAACCATAGTCATTAAATGATCACAGTAATAAATAGAGGGTCCTGGGAGATGGCTCGGTGGGTAGTGTTGGCTCTGTATGAGGACTGAGTGTGGGTCCCCAGCACCTACATGCTGGAACCCCAGTGCTGCGGGGAAAGAAGGGGCTGCAGAGACAGGCAGATCCCCGAGGCTCACTGGCCAGCCAGGCTAGCCAAATCAGTGAGCACCAGGTTCAGTAAGAGACCCTGTCTCAGAAAATAAGGTGCAGGAGCTGGTGAGACGGTGCGGTGCAGGAGCTGGTGAGACGGCGCAGGGCAAAGGCACCTGCCACCAAGTCAAACGACTGAGTTAGATCCAGGACTCACGTGGTGGAGGGAGAGAACCAAGTCCTCCATGTTGTCATCTGACCTCCATACATGTGCCATGGCATGCACACTCACACATCCACACACGTGCACACTCGCACATCCACACACGTGCACACTCGCACATCCATACACGTTCACACTCACACATTCACACACGTGCACTCGCACATCCACACATGTTCACTTTCACACAAAATAAATTAAAATGATGTAATGAGATAAATTTAAAAGGTGACTGATTGAGAAGGACATCTAGATGTTGACCTCTGACCTCCACATGCATGTGAATGGGTGAGCACATCTGTGTGTCCACACATGCACACAATCATACACTATACATACACAATAAATAGAGATATAGCCACGTGTCACTTGGAAGAACGTACTCTGAGAGATGTATCATCGGACCTCGTCCTCTAGGGATGTCATACAGTCACCACAGGCAGTGGTCTCCCATGAACACCTTCTCATACAGTGCTCATCATTGACCCAACTGTCACTACACAGCCTAGAAGGCCTGACCATGTGTGGGACCAGGTCTGTGATAAATGCCCTGGTTTTCCAGGCCCCTTGCAGCACAGCCTGACCTGGGGTGCAATCCTGACCCCCCCTACCCCACAGCCTGACCTGGGGTGCAATCCTGACCCCTCCACCCCACAGCCTGACCTGGGGTGCAATCCTGACCCTCCCCCCACCTCTCACCTCCAGAACCTGAAGCGGGTGGCTGAGGTGTGGATGGATGAATTCGCCGAATACATCTACCAGCGCCGGCCAGAGTACCGCCACCTGTCTGCCGGCGATGTCGTGGCCCAGAAAAAGCTCCGCAGCACCCTTAACTGCAAGAGCTTCAAGTGGTTTATGACCAGCATCGCCTGGGACCTGCCCAAGTTCTATCCACCTGTGGAGCCCCCAGCTGCAGCATGGGGAGAAGTGAGTGTGGAGGGACAGGGCTGGGCACAGACTCCCAAAAACATGCCAGGAAAATCTAAATGTTACATTCTCTCTTGGGCCCCGTTTTAGTTACTTCCCATTGCTATGACAAAACACTGACCAAAACCAGCTTGGGAGGAAAGGGTTTATTTGCTTACAGCACAGTCCATCATCAAGGGAAGCCAAGGTAGGAGCTCAGGGCAGGAACCTGGAGCACAGACCGTGGAGGAACGCTGCTTACTGGCTTGCACCTCTGGCCTGTGCTCAGCCTGCTCTTTTTATTATTATTATTTTATTTTATGTGTATGAATGTTATGCCTGCAGGTATGTAAGTGCACTCATGTTGTAAAATGCCTACAGAGACCAGAAGAGGTCCTCGGATCCCCTGGAACTGGGTCTATGGACTGTTGTTAGCCGCCATGTGGGTGCTGGGAATTGAAGCTGGGTCTTCTGCAAAAGCAGCCAGCGCTCTAACCACTGAGCAATCTCTCTAGACGCCCCCCCCCAGCCTGTTTTTTTTATACAACAGCTGCGCAGGGATGGCACCACACACACTACGCTGGGCCCTCCCACATCACTCGACAATCAAGACGATGTCCCACAGACATGGCCACAGGCCAGTCCAATGGAGACAGTTCCTCAGTTGAGGCTCCCTACACCCAGGTTGACAACTGAAGCTGTCCAGCACAGGCCCTGTCCTTGTGGGGCTGATTTTTTGTTGTTTTCTGGTTTTGTTTTGTGTGCTGTTGAGTGTTGTACGTACAGAAGAATTAAAACCGGGTTGGCATGAATTTCACCTTTTACCTTTTTATGACATTCTGCCAGGTTTGGTTTGGTTTTTGTTTTCTTTTGTTTGTGATGCTGGGGAGGAAACTCAGGATTTTGTGCTAAGCCAGTCTCTGCTGCCGAGAGACTAATTCAGACGTTTCTACTGTGCTTCTTGGTGAGGCCTATGTCCTGCTCAGATCTACAGCCAAGAGCTCCAAATCCCACCCCACCAGCCTTCATGGCTGAGAGGGGGCCAGGGCTGCTGCTGTTCTTTTGCGTAGGGATGGGCTGAACTCCTGACACTTTGCTGTCCTCCGTGGACAGCAAAGATTTTGTGATCTCTAAGACTCTCCAAGTTACCATCCCTGGACCGCCTGTCCCTCAGGCCTCTGGAATGGAGGTAAAATTGGATTCCAAGATGCTGGGTAGGATTCTCTCGGTGTGGGCTCAGGCACAGCCACACTGGGGACCCTCTGGGATTCCTGTCCCTCGCTGACACAAAGACCTCCCACCAGCCTTTAAGGCAGTTCACTATTCTGTCTTCATCGTCTCTGCCCTGGTCCCTTCCCTCCCAGCAGGGCCCAGCGGTGTGTATTAGTCACTTTTCTGTTGCTGTGATAGAAACACTGACCCAAGCAATTTATAGCAGGAAGCATTTATTTGAGCTTACGGTTCCAGGGGTATTACAGTCCATCATGGCAGGGAGGGAAGGTGTCTGGAGGTGCTGGAGCAGGAGTAGCAGAAGCTAAGCTCTCACATCGTCACGCAGGCACAGGAACCAAGAGAGCACCTGGAGATCTGGCAAGGCTTAAGAACTCTCTAAGCCCACCCCCAGTGACGTGCTTCCTCCAGGATAGCCACACCTTCTAAAACCTCCCAAAACAGCACCACCATCTGGGGACAAAACGTCCAAATACTTGGAGCCTGTGGGGGACACTTTCATTCAAACCACCACAGGGTGCCCTGAGGCGCCTTAGTGGTCGGTCTTCCCCTTTTCCCCCACCAGATTCGCAACGTGGGCACGGGATTGTGCACAGACACAAAGCACGGGACCCTGGGCTCCCCACTGAGGCTGGAGAGCTGTGTCCGTGGGGAAGCTGCTTGGAACAACATACAGGTAAGGGCCACCCCTGGGGCTGCCAGGGTCCTCACACTCCATGAGGAGTGACAGTTGTCAGCTGCGAATCATGGGGTTTCTTGAGCACCTGGAGAAGGGGGAAGGGGATTCCTGCACATAGCAGGTACCACCATCCATCTGGTCTGTTTGACAAACATGCACCACATGGCTTAGAACAAATAGACAACTTTTAGGTGTCACTAAGAAGTCCTGAGTGTGTGTGTACAAGTGCCTGATCTGCTTTCTTTCTCTGGTTTCTGTTACTGTAACTGAGTGCCACATGCTAAGTAATTTATAAAGAACAGAAGTTTATTTAGCTTGCAGTTCTCAGTTCTACAGGCCTTAGATTTTGGCCCCAGCCTCTTCCCAGCTCCAGCAAGGGCCTTCCTGTGGGTTCATGACTTCAGGGAGGGCATCACACCAGGAGGCAGATGGAGTTGGCTCCCTGAGTCTGTCTCTTCCTCTTATAAAGTGACTAAAGGGGGCTAGCTGGAGAGATGGTTCATCAGGTAAAGGTGCCATGCAAGCCTGACCACCTGAGCTCCAACCCCAGAACCCACGGTTGAAGGGGAGAACCAACTCCAGCAAGTTCTCCCGTGACCTCTACACACACACCATGGCACAATAATCAATTAATTAAAAACCAAAGACAATGTAGCAAGAGGGGACTTCCCCATGCTTTGCTGTCCCTATAGTGACTCCCTATGTGCTCAGGTCTTTACCTTCACCTGGAGGGAGGACATCCGGCCCGGAGACCCTCAGCACACCAAGAAATTCTGCTTTGACGCGGTCTCCCGCACCAGCCCAGTCACCCTCTACGATTGCCACAGCATGAAGGGCAACCAGCTGTGGAAGTACAGGAAGGTGCGCGTTGGGGGCAGGATGGGGAGGGGGAGGAGCCATACTACCCGCTGGCTTGGTGGGTGGGTTGTCTTAAGGAAGGCAGTGCCTACCTGCTTCTTAAAGAGCCCGCCCACTCATCCCTGTGTTCCACCACCCTGTCCTGCCATTGCCCAGGCACGAGCAAGAAGCCAGAGATGTCAACCGAGCTTTGAAAAGGAAAGCCAAGGTGGGCGTGGTTTACATAGCGAGTTCCAGGCCAGCCAGGGCTACAGGGAGACAGAGAGAGACGGAGAGAGAGAGAGGTCCACGCCACTTCACAGGGAACCAGTGGCATTGATTGGAGCAGGCAGTGCTGAGGGCCTTGGCCTGGAAGTGACGTTGGGCCCATGACAAGGCAGAGGATGCTGGGCCGCATCTGATTGCATGCAGGGAGCAGGGCCGGCGGGACGTGAGTCCCAAGCGGCTGCCATGCCTCCTCGTTGCCTACCATGACTGGTGTCTTGTTATCCCTGGTGCTGTCTGCCTGACTCCCTGCTCCGCCTTGTAGGACAAGACCCTGTACCACCCTGTGACTGATAGCTGCATGGACTGTAGCCAGAGTGACCACAGGATCTTCATGAACACCTGCAACCCATCCTCCCTCACCCAGCAGTGGCTCTTTGAACACACCAACTCCACAGTCTTGGAAAAATTCAACAGAAACTGAACCCTCACAGCCCCTCGGCAAGCCCCACGGGTCCCCTCCAGCGCCCATGAAGCCTTCCTCTCAAGGGAGAAGGGGCCTGTGTGGGCACCAAGGTGCTGGGCTTAATGGCTGGGGGCAGGGGAGTCTTGAAGCACCTGTGTCATGTGTAGAGAATAGAGCCTACAAAGGGCCCCACAAGAAGGCAGGGTCTGCTGACATCACAGCAGAGCTCCAGAACCTGTCAGCATGTCACCTGAGTGTCACATTGGGCACACCTGGGCAGCCTCTTGCCCAGAGCCCTGTGAAGTTACTCAGCCCTAGGGCAGCTCCCAGGCACTACTCTAGAAAGAGATGTGACATTGGCCTATGTGCCAGCCCCTGCAAAGCCCTCCTGTGGCCTGTCCTTACTGCGGGGTAGGCATAGGGGATGGACGGACTGCCAGGACTGCCCAGCTTCCATCTTGGTCCAGGGCTCACAGTGAGAGCCCACACCTGGGACCTCAGAGTGCTCTATACTGAGCACTTCCAGCAAGGGGCCCCTGACCTTCCTCGGCAGCCTGGATGCAAAGGATGTCTCCCTGGCTCTGGGCATTTCAAATGCCCCGTCCAGTTTCAGGGCTTTCTGAGTATAAGGACAACCCAGCCACCAGCTTTTTGGGGCTAGTTCAGCTAGCCTTGGAAAAAGGCCAAGTAGACTGAGCAGGCTGATCAGAGCTCCCCAGCCCATGCTTCCCTGGCCCTCTCTGTCTCTCCTTGGCAGCTCCTCGGCAGCTCCCTGCCCATGTGAGGCTGGAGGCCTCCTGGGTCCACTGGGGGCAGCACAGCCAGTCTCTGACTGCCTCATAGTTCTGATCTCACTGAACTCTGGACTTGTGTGGCTCTGTCTCCAGTCAGGAAGTGCCACTGGACTCTGGCGTGCTGGCATATGAGGCTGAGATTCAAGCAGCAGCCACACATATCAGTCAGGCAGCCCTGAGCCCAGGACGTTTGTGACCTCTAGGGCTTGAAGGAACAGGGACCAGAGGCTTTGGAGCAACCCAGTCGCTGACTGTCACAGCTGCAGCCTCATTGAGAAGCTACTTTCCCATGACCACCACCACCACCACCACCCCCAGCCCCTTGCCAGACTCCTAACAGGCCCTTTTGTGACCTCTAGGGCTGGAAGGAACAGGGACCAGAGGCTTTGGAGCAACCCAGTCTCTGACTGTCACAGCTGCAGCCTCATTGCAGTGGGGCCAGAAGCTACTTTCCCATCACCACCACCACCACCACCACCCCCAGCCCCTTGCCAGACTCCTAACAGGCCCTCAGACAGGAACCTGCCCGCTGTGGATTGTCTCAAGCAGAATGAATCTCATAGCCTGTGGCCCTCAACAGCTAGTCCAGGACACACTCGAAATCAGGGTGCCAACTAGAGCTGGGCAGCTCTCTAGTGCCATGTACGGATGAAATAACTGAGACGTGGCTCTGGGAGCAGAACTGGGAATCTGCTTTTGAGATGTTGTCTCAAGGCTATCAATGGTGGGAGGGGCAAGCAATCCCAAGCCTCCAGGGGAGTCCAGTGCCTGGCATAGGAACACTTCCACACAGCCTCTATCCTCACAGGCACAGCCTGCTTTTGGATTCCTGGTATCCTTTTCAAGATGAGTGGTCTACTTTACATGTGTCTGGCCAGGAAGGAATCAAAACAGGAGGTTCCCAGAATCCAATAAGGATGTGCATTACAAATAGGGGAGTCTGGATCATCAGAGGGCAGTACAGCTTTGTTACAATAAAAACTGTGCCTTTTACAAAGAGAAAATGCAACTGAACAGCTGATCCCTAAACTTGAACCACTTCCTAGTGCCTTGCTAGACAAACAGAAAGGGGGGTGGGGAGGGCACTTGTACAGTTCATATGGGTTGACTGTTTTCTTCATGTCTGAGTGCAAGCGGGAGGTACTGGGATTAGAGCAGAACCTGAGACCCAGGCCCCCCAGCTTCCAGAGACCTGGCAGCTCTGTGAGGGGCCCCGTGCTGACCCCAGGGTGCTCTGCCTGTCCCTCACCATCTGGCAAGGTGATCAGAGCAGCTGCTGGGTTTCCAGGTCACCCCAGCCATGCAGGTAGTCCTGTTGTCCTCCACACCAGGAGTCCTGCGGGAGGCAGGGGCAGCCGCAGCCACCCCCAGCCAGCTTGGGTCTCCACTCTTTCATGGGTGGGTGTGTCCTCTGAACTTCCCTCAGAATTTCTAACTGCTGAGCCCTGGTCATAGCTCGTGAGACCTGAGGTGTGTCACAGGGAGAACATGCCACCAGCCAGGGGACAGACTGGCCTCTCTTGCTCCAAAGCTTTATTTGGAGGATGAAACTCAAAATGGTGTAGCTAGAAAGGCAGCCTTTCACTCTAGAAGGTTCCAGAAACATTTTGGAGTATCGAATGTCCCAGGTGTGAGGCAGAACCCTTTGCGTGGTAAGCTTCCCACGTGGTAAGCTTCTGGCTTTGGAAACAGCCAGAGATGATGAGTCCTCCCTCAAAGCAGGGACATCTGATGGGTCGGGGGAACATGGCCTTAGGACAGGCAAGAGATGCCGCACGTGGGTCTACAGTGTTTTCCTCACAGCTCCTCTTCAGACCTCCTGCCTGTCACATTTCCTCCCCGCACCCCGGTGGTTCTGTCTCTGCCTCTCAGAACACCACCACACTTCACAGTCGTAACTGGGACTCTCAAACTCCTGTCCTTGTCGGGAGGCCACACGTTTGTAGTGTTTTCTAAAGCCTGGATGTAGAAGAGGGACAGTGCAGTTCTGTCCTCCTCCTCACTGCTTTCCACTGATGCTCTCTGACAAATCCAAGTCGTATTTCAGTTCAGGATTGACGCCGAGTTAGTCCCCGCTGCTACCATGGGGTCCCAGGTGATACGGTCTTAGTGTGCACTCCAAACAAGGCTTTGGTTCAACAAGGTCTTCTTCGCTCTGTGACTAGCTTGAAGGCTGGGCTCCCCAGGAGCTGCAGGAGTTCCATGGGGAAAAGCCCAAGACCACCCCCTCTCCTGCCTGGAGAAACAAGCTTCATGAAGAATGACCTACCATGTACAGCTGTGACTGTGACTGTCAATAAACCTACAGACTTTCTCTAAAGGGGTCTCTGGTGTGTCCCTTGTCATTGTGCCTTCCCATCGGTGCCCTCATAGTGCTGAGCACCTACCCAGTGCCCACATGAACTTCAGGGTGCTGAACCAAGTCCAGTTGCTGTCATTTCTAGAAGGGAAGGCAGACCAAAGACAACCAAGATGATTTCAAGTGCAAACTGGGCTGTGAAGGATGGCAGACAGTATTTTCAGGCTGGGGTAAAATGGTCAGGAAATGCCCCTCAGAGCTGAAATACCGAGTCTGAACCAAGGAGTACTCTACGCAGAACACAGTGCAGGGGCCTCCAAGGCCTGGAGGGGCTGGGGATGGGGGGAGATCAAGGACTTGGTCAGGGAAGCCCACAGGGTCTTTGAAACCAGACCCGGAGGTCAGGAGGGTGAGAGGAGGAACTGCGTGCCTCTGATGCTCACCCATCAGTTCCAGCCTGTTTAGCACATTTCTGTGGTGTTAGGTGGTTTAAATTCAGAAACCATGTGGCAGAAAGCACTGGTAAGCCCAGCTTTTGGTGCAGGTCTTTAATCCCAGCACTGAGGAGGCAGAGGCAGGTGGATCTCTGAGAGATCAAGGCCAGCCTGGTCTACATAGTGAGTTCCAGGCCAGCCGGGGCTACAGGGAGACCCTGTCTAACAAAGTATCATGTGTTTACTATATACAGATACTCTGCTAGAAATGCACTGTTCAGGGAAGAGCCAGAACAGATGCTTGTCCCCCGCACTGTGAGTTGTTCCTCAGTGTTGATCCTGTCCCCACCCTGTCAGGGAACGCGCAGGATCCACGCTCTCCTGTATCCTCACAGTTCGGCTACCCAGCTTTGCCTCTATGTAGGGAGATGCCAGAGTGCTCGTTTGCTAGACTATTTTTATTTGTGTGTGTGTTAGTGTATTCCTACAGAGGCCAGAAGAGGGCACCAGATCCTCTGGAGCAGCAGTTATGTGAGAACCGAATTTGTGTCCTCTGCAAGAACAGCAAAGGCCCAGGGCTAGAGAGGTGGCTCAGCGGTTAAGAGCATTAGCTGCTCTTGCAGAGGATCTGGGTTCAATTCCCAGTACCCATATGGCAACTAACAGCTGTCTGTAACACCAATTCCAGGAGACCCAATGCTGTCTTCTGACCTCCTCAGGTACTGCACGACATGGGTGTACTTACACACATGCAGGCAATACACTCATACACATAAAATGAAAATAATTTTTTTTAACTTTTTTTTAAAAAAGAGCAGCAATGAGCCGGGCATGGTGGTGCACACGTGTAGTCCCAGCACTTGGGAGGCAGAGGCAGGCGGATCTCTGTGCCAGCCTGTTCTACATAATGAGTTCCAGGACAGCTGGGACTACAGGGAGACCCTGCTTCAAAAAGACAA